CGATTATCTGGAAGAATATTGGTTGCTTCGAAAGAGCGACGAATCAATTTTTAAAGCAGAATGTTGTTACGTAAGATCTCAATGTATATAACTTGGGGGTTAAGGAGGGGAAGGGAAAGTGTGATAGTTATTTAGAAACAAAAAAATTTGGATTATATTGTTTCTAAAATTTACAATACAAATATGGAAATTTTCTTCGAACATCGAGTAAAATTGTAAAACAATTGTCTGGATTTTTCGACAACTTTTTAAAAATTCATTTTTGCGACTGCGAAAAATATAGCATATTTAATTTATTTTATACGTTTGGCTCTTAATTTATATAAAGAATTCGATTCGAAAGGGAAATTGGAAAAGAACAATTTTGTTGAACGGTGATTAGTGATATTTTTTTTGTTACATCACATTGCTTTGTGCCTGAATGTTCGATATCTTTCCGCATATTCGCATGTGATGGACGGGGACATTTCGCCAAAAAGCGGTTACCTAATTAAGTGCGATACGTGCTTGGAGACCGTGATACGCGACACGTACAGATAATCGCGCTCCAACAACGGATCACGACGTGACCTTTAAAAATGATAACGTGCTTTAATCCGCGCGCGATAGCGTAATTGCGATCATTCTCATTCGCGACGTTGTTTTAAAATGCGTATGGATGGCCATAGGATTGTTCAACGTAAGATTACATTGATCTAATATCTCAAGCATTAAAAAGTCATCGTAAAAATTTATCTGTATTTGATCGATATTGTAAATGTTTCTCAGTTAATTCATCACATTCTTGTCTGACCACATCTCGATTATTATCACTGCAAATTAAGTAAAAAGTCAAGTGTATATTTATGCAAGTTTTTTTTTTTACCAAATATTACTTTACATAAGGATACCTTGCATTTTTTAAATATTTGATACAGTGTATTTATATATATGACTTTAAATATGTTTTATAAAGAAGCCGGCAATGTGATTTTTTTTTTTTTTTAAACCAGACAAATTTTACTATCTTATATATACTTTTGAATTTTCTTCCTCATTTAATAGTGCGTTTTTTTTTTTAAATATTAGTGATATAATATAGATTATATGCGTCAAAGAGCGATTATTAATTCTAAAGTTCTGTTGCGTCTGACAAATAATTGAATTATTTGTTTATTTCTGTGTTGCAGCAAGATCCGATGTCACATAGGATCATTGAGAAGCGTAGAAGAGATCGCATGAACAATTGTCTGGCTGATCTCAGTAGACTCATACCGGCAGAATATTTGAAGAAGGGTCGAGGCAGAGTCGAAAAGACAGAGATCATCGAGATGGCGATCCGCCACATGAAGCATCTCCAAGGCCTTCGGCAAGGTGAGTTTAATCGGTTCAACCGCAATTCTTCCGAGCAAAATCATCTCGGGGAACGGAAATGTTACGTAACGCGCACTCTATTTTCGCAATTTAGAGCAGCCAGTCACTCTATAAGCACTATGTAGATCGCGCAAATATTGATATTCGTAGACCGCGAATTATAAATGCGAGTTCTTGACGACGACGCCGCATCAATTGTACTATTACGTTGCGGTGACAATCGTTAATAGTGATATTTTTGTTTTATTTTAGACACCAAGCATTCGTCCGTGACACCGGTACACACGCATCCCGAGGACAGCGTGGACAGCGTGTCTCATTCAACCGCCGCGTCAACTGCAGCGGAGCACTACAGGTTGGGATTTCAGGAGTGCCTGAACGAGACCATGCACTTCCTCGAGGAGGTCGAGGGCTTTTTCGGGAGAGATACTCTCTGCGTACAACTCTACAATCATTTGCAGCAACACTGCGATAAGATCTTAGCCAGTACGTATCTATTCCTATATTCGATTTTTGAAAGATATCTCTGTTTAAGACTCTTTTCTTTGAAAAGTGCGTACTTTAATCTTTTTTTATCCGTTGTATCATAATTTGAATAGAGGAAAACTTTCAAGTTTCGTAGTGTACCATAATGAAGATCGTTTTATTCATTATTATGAAGAATTGTCTATGAACCTAAGCATTTCATCTGTTTTCAGCATTTCCGTATAATAGATAGAGTTGTACACTTGCTTCAGATGATCGAGTAGGTTTTCCGCATCCCGAGCTGCCGACGACGAATGGCGCGATGAACGGTGCCGGCTACGCTCACGCGAGCATCGCGATGATGTGCCAGCCTAACGGCGGTCACTCGGATCACGGCTCGAGTTCGGGCGTGAGCTCGTTCGGTGACTCGGAGCGTCCGTTGCTACGATCGGTGATCGTGCCACCACCGACGATCGTGAGCGACGACAGCAATCACAGCACCCATTCGCAAAGCACGCCATCCGGGACCGGCGCCATCTCCTGTCGGCCGACCAATTACAAGTTCAAGAGCTCGATTAAGCAGAGGTTCTCGGCCGAGAGGATCAAGTCGTGCTCGTCGCCGGTGTCGAACGGCGTCGGTCTGGACAAGCCGACGTCCTCGTCGTCGCACGGGGTGCCGATCTTC